GGCACACATTTTTGTGCCTTTCGCTGTACCAGCACATACCCATATTGCGTATATATATATATATATATATATATTATAATATATATATATATATATTTTTTATTATACGTATATATATATATAATACTATATATATATAATAATATATCAGTATATATATATATATATTATATATATATATTATTCATCATATTATATATGTTGTTGCTGTGTGTGTGTGTGTGTGTGTATTATATGGATATTTGCTTAGTTTACTTACTATTCTCTTATTTCTTTAGTAAGTTGTATCCTTAGGTTGATATATATTATTGACATAATTTATGATGACATGCATATCTTCCCTACAAATTTGAGAAAGATATAAAGTGAATTTTATGTTTAGTGGTCTTTAATAAGAATTTTAGTAATAAAATATGTCACCTTCATATTTAAAGATTTTGAAACTAAAAATACTATTACATGCTTATCTTTGAGCATGTCTTCAATAAATGATCATTTGTTGGTAGTCATATCTCTAAATAAAATTACACGTAGAGTCATACCACTATATAGATAAAAATATTGATTTTTTTTACTTACACTGTTGTAAATAAATATCATGTTTATACATTTTGTCCATTGTAGTGATTTCCCTCCCCTTATATGGCTAGGGGCGAACTGGACCGACCTAGCCTAGAAAATCGAGTCCAGGCCAGGCACAAAGGGATACCCAAACGCGATCCCGAGTTGGTTGGGCACCGGCCAGGCCAATTTATTTTCTGTTTTTCTTTAAAATTAGTTTTTTCCTAAAAAATGAAATTTTAAGAGAAATTAAAAATAAAATATGCAAAATTTTGATAAAAATTTAATCATATTATTAATCACTTTTAATTATACAATTTATAAATACAAATATCATAGAAATTAAAATAAAAAAATAAATTATTTATTGTTAAATCACTAACAATTATAATTTTTTTAGAATTTATTGCATCACAATAGATAAATACATTCCAACTGGGTTGGCATCTATTCATCTATATCACTATCATTTGAAACTCTTTCCAAAATAAATTATCAAAAAATTTACAGCTAAGAAATAAAATTACAAATTAATGAGTAGTTTGACTAAATTCTATTTTTTATTTCTATCTCCTATTGACAACTCATCAAGTCTGTCTTTAATACTAGCCATCCGATCGATGCCTTGAGTTCTCTTCTCAGACCTTCACCAATCTTGTAGGCACATTAACGCATATACGGAAGACTGATCTAGCGATGTTCTATGATCGTCGATCAAACGTACTGGTGTGCTGAAGGAAGATTCTGAAGCTACTATAGAAACTTGCGCTGTTAGTAAGTCACAAGGCATGATGGAAAGTATAAGATATGAAACTGTTCCATATACTCTCCACCATTACAAAATATAAAAATTATTATTTTGAGCATCAACTAAAGGTGCGGATAAATATTTTTCAATTTCAGAAGCTTCCCTTGATGATGATCTAGATCCAGATCCAAGGCTATCCATTAGTCTCGCTATCATTAATTGACTATCAAAACTCTTACCTTTGCTCCAGCTTGAACTCATATTTTCAAAATAATAATCCATACGATAAGTAGTAAAATATTTTAAATATTTAAAAATTGTAAAGCAGCTTGAATAATAGTTGGATAATAACAGCCAGATAACAACATAGTACCGTCATAAAAAACTTATAAATCTCTTTTACACTATATATAACTGTCCATTCTCCATCAGTTATTCCATAAATACTATCAGAGCTAGAACTAGAAGCATATAAAGCAATAAAATCATTTATAATTTCTTTACACTCTATTGCTATATATAACATTGCATAGGTAGAATTCCACATATGATCAACATCTTTTGAAATTAACTTAGGTTTTAAATTTTTTCTTTTACATAATTATTGTCATCTTTTAAGTCTTTGTTCAGAAGCATTATGAGCATAAGCTATAACCATAACCTTATCTATCATGGGTTTAATTTCATTAAATGTACTTTGAACAATTAAGTTTAAAATATAGCACATACATCTAATATGAAAAATATCACCATGATATGGCAATAGCAAATATGATTTGATATGATCTATAACTACATTATTATTACTTGTATTATCTAGAAAAATAGAAAATATTTTTTAGAAATTTCTAATTTTAAAAGTTCTTCTACTATTAAATTTATAATATTAATACCAGTGTGTGAATCCTTAAATGCAATAAAAGAAATAACTCTTTAAAATATTTGCTAACTATCATCAATCCAGTATGCTGTGATACACAAATAACTAGTTTGTGCTCTTGATGTCCAAATATCAGATGTTAGAAAAAATTTATAATTTAAATTTTAAAAAATAATAAATTATTTTTGTTTGTTCATCGTGATAATATTTCAAAATATCACATTGACAAGATTGACGAGAATTTTTTTAAATGAGGGATAAAACCATATCTAATTATATCCTCAAATTCATCATCTTCTATTAATTTAAAAGGAAAATTTTTAAAAACAATAAACTTGATGACGTATTTCCTGGCTTTAATTACGTCATAGTTCTAAGAATTTAGGCTACCGAATGATGATGATTGAGAGAGTAGAGACTGACATATGTCTCCTTGAGATGTTACCGCTTGAGCTTTGTTGTACTTTTCTAAATGACGTTTGAGGTGGTTGGTGCTGCTTTTATGATGAACTTAGAAAACATTGGCCCACAATGCACATTTAGCCTTTTGGGGGAGAAGTTTATCATGTTGATATTTGGTGATTTCTATCTTCTCAAAAAAATTCCACACATCAGATCTTTGCCTTTTAGGAGCTTTAGGTGTGAGATCATCACCATTGGATTCAGGATTAACATCGGTAGGAGAGAGTAGCGGTAGGTGTAGTAGGAGTAGAACTCATTTCAACATCGGAAATTGGAACTTGCCCTTCATAATTTGAGGAGGGAGCCAATTGATTAGAGAATTAGAGAGTGAAAGAGAGTATTTGAGAGTATAAGAGAGTATTAGAGAGAATGAGATGAGTTTTGGATGAGAAACATAAATAAAATTCCGCTTTATTTATAGAGGCAACCCTAGCCAAATGACCAAAATACCCTCAAAATTTGGCTATTTTTTGACCATTTTGGGTATTTTGGTCAAAAAACCAAAAATACCCGTTATAGGCTACTTTCGTTAGACCGGACCGGACCGGGCCCATGCCGGGCCTGGGCTGCCAGGGCTACGGTCACTTTTGTGACAATTTGGACTGGGCTGGGTCAGGGTCAGCCCGAGCATATACAATTGTGTTCGTTGGACCATGGGCTGGGCCGACCCCGGTCGGTCCAAAATCTTTCGCGGGGTCCGGGCCTGGGACTAGGCTAGACCCGAACCCGGGCTACCTGGCCCGGCCATCTTCCTAGCTGGGCCAGGCTGGGCGTAATACGGGCCTCCATTAGGCGACCCGGGTCCGGGACCGGAGCTCGGTTTGGCCAGGGAATCCGGGCTTTTCCTAGGCCCAGTCGGGTCCGATCCGAACACTGAGCCGGGCTTGGGCCTCAGGCCCAAATGGACACCCCTATATATGTCCTTT